TAGGAAAGAAAAATAAAGTCAAATATTTTTTTCTACACATTTCAAAAACGTAACTAGTGAGTGTTATTTTTAATTAATTAATTAATTTATTTATTTGTTTTTTTTTTTGCTCTATTTATTTTTTGGCCTAGATTATTTCTCGTATCTTTTTTTTTTCTTTTTGTTTCCTTCTTTTGTTTTCTTTTGCCTGAATGAAATTCTATTTATAGTAACAAAATATTGTGAAAGAAAAATCTATTCATGATTAATTGTTTACCTTATGTAAATAAGTAAGTAGGTTGGTAGGTGGGTAGGTAGGTAGGTAGGTAGATAGGTAGATGGGACTTTTCGTTTATGTTTCTTTCCCATGAGTCAAGGTCACGAATTTAAATGAAGTGACTTTTATTTTAATGACATAATTTAATGTAGTCTGTCTATCCTCGTCGTCGTCGTCGTCCTCCTCCTCCTGCTACTACTATTACTACTACTACTGTGACTACTAAAACAACTGTTTATATTGTCATTTTAAGCGGCCCAATCTTTATTTACTGATCCAAAGATTCAATATATACTATTTTGAATCTACTTATAAAATCAATTCTAATTTTATCGATAATCAATGTAATCCTGTCATGTGGTGGTATACGAATCCTTCCCTCTTCTATATTCACTCCCTCAATATATATATATATATATATATATATATATATATATATATATATATTGTCAGGTGAAGACATATTGATTGAGTGTATATTCTATTAACTTTTAGTAATCGAATTCCCTTTCTACCTCTCTTTATCTACATGGATGTATTTATTCAGTGTTTTTTTAATTGCCTTCTGTATATATATATATATATATATATATATATAAATTATTGCTTACTTAACTGTGATCAACAAACATGCAATGTCACACTTGTCCTCTTAATCATAAAAAAAGTACTAAAAAAAAGAGGAAATTTTCAGAATTCCATTTTATTGCTACATAAAAAAGTAAATCTATCTGTTCATTGGCCTTTTGAATATGTCTATATATATATATATATATATATATATATATATATATATATATATATATATATATATCTGTATACGCATTTGTCTTGTCTTCCGATATACAGTAGTATAAATACAGCAAAATCTCATGTCCATTTGATATATATATATGAATATTATAATATTTATGGTCATAGAAAACAACTGAACAGCTGTAGTTAGTTAGTTAGTTAGTTAGTTATGTTTACTAAAGGATAGTCTATTAAATGAAAAGTTTGGGTCAAAACAGAACATAACTACTATATCCTCTTATTCTCTTACTTGTTCACTTTGTCTCCTATCCATATATATATATATATATATATATATATATATATATATATATGCATCTTTCCTACTAGTCATTTTTTCGTTTGCATCTTTTTTTTTCGCTAATTTTGCGGATAGAGCTGTTATTGATTAAAATTGATATTATAAACGTATATATATAGATATATATTTATGTATTGGTATGAGTTAATATGGTTTAATATGACTGAGTTACTGGTTTTTACTATTTCTAAAATGCTTATTTAACAGTTGTTTTTTTTGCTGTCATGGTTAATGTTAAGAATTATAATTGATCAGTCTCTATGGGCATTTGTCATCTTAAGTGGATTGTTTCGATGTGATCATTAAAACACAAGTTCTTTTATTGAAATTAAATTGTGATTGAAGATGGTATCCACAACATGTATACTATACTATTTGCAATTTGTCAACCTGATGTAGCTGGAACCTAATACTAATGGGTCATATTGGAACTCGAACTTAGTTTTAAAATATTGACATTTATTGCAAAAGGTACTGTATTCGACTCCCAGTGTCAACATCAACACTGGGATATACAAACACTCAACTGACCAGTCCCAAATAGTAGAAAACATGCCATCTGGATTCCACTCCTAGCTGTAATCTAATAATATTAATAATCCAAGTCAATACAAAGATGATTTAATTGACATATGTATAGTTTTTTTTTGTATGTCAGCCATAATTTTTATGACTGGGGTTTTCGACGCCAATCAAAATATTGTCTTCATTCAAAATCGTGATTACTACCAACCTAACACTTGATATATCAGTTACAAAACATTAGATGGGTAGAGATGATTTTGTTCAGTTTATGTCTAAGTGATTACGTCTTCCAGTTATTTAAGAAATCTCATGATTAATCTTAATTATACATTCAAAACACTCTTTTTAATATGAAGAAAACCTATGAATAGTCACATTTCTATAAGATAGATGAACATGGAACTATATTATTTTAACTAAAATTTTCATAGCTCTGAATGTAAACATTCTGTACAAATAAACAATCATATTTTCTCTTCCAAATATAGAAATATCTTAGTCAGTCATAAATATTGTGGAATCCGGCATATATGGAAAGCGATTCAAGTAAGGCGATAGATAGAGGTAGTAGACAAGGAAACTAACTTGAACTAGGTTTCATGCTAATATAGCACTCGTTTGCGAGATGTAATTATAATCTTCGGGGGAGGGGAGACTGGTGCCATCTAGCCTCATAGTCAGAGACGTCACACTACTTAGCTATCCGAATATCGACCGATCTCCTGCAAACTAAGATATATACATAAAATTGACTGATCACTGACTAGTGATCAACCATATGTATGTCAAGTCTTTTTTTGGTTGATAGAACTCGATATTCTTGTATTCCATTGACATGAACTATTCTCATTATGTGATTTGTTCTAACTCTAAGTATTTTTCATATATGTGATTTCATCCTAATTATTAATCGAAATAAGTGTACAATCAATATATAAATGAATGTCTTTTCTACTAGAGTCGTCGTCGTGTTTCGGGGTTAATAGATATTTACTTATACCAGTCTTTGTGTTCTTACTTTCGCGTCATGAGAATTGCAGAGGTCCCTTCGTTCTGAGTATAAGTGATAAACGTTTCCGACATAACAATCAGAGACGACCTAGATAATAAACAAGTAACATTCCATTCACAAGATATAACAAATCGATTGTTAATCGGTCCAAATGACCAAATCATATCACAACAAATCCAATCTAAATTAATTGTAAGAAATAAACAAAAAAAAAAAAACTGAACTTATTTTAAAACACAAAAATTGAAATAAGGAGAAAGAGTGAATTCATTAATTAGAAACTAAATTTAACGCCTACTCAATCATCATCATCATCATAATACCACCATTTGGTTTAAGTAATAAAATGTTATTTTATTATTTAATTATACAATAGTAGATTTCAATTAAATGATCTATGGTTTACTATCTCTTAGACAAGATCGTATGGAATAATTTGTCTAAATTCATTCTGAACTATAATGAACCTTTGGCAATATAACTACTTTCTCCACTTCCATTTTCTTTTTTGGCATTGATGCTTAGTGTTTTTTTCTCTTTTTTTTTTTGCTTCCCTTTTGTTAATATTTCAATATCAAGTTAAATGTAATGTAGGTAATAATTCACTTTTTGGATAAAAAAAAACACACACACACACACCAAATTCAATGAAGTGATCATTGAGATGGTGGAGATGTGTAGTTCATCTGCCTGAGATACGAAATGATCACTTTTCAACTAATTCATTATCAATCTGTATAGTCGTATATATATAAGTAAAATGGCAATTGTTTAAAGATCCTCGTCATTATTAAAAGAGTAGTATGTGAACGAAGAATATTCTCTTTTTCGATAAATTCTCTTCATGTTTGCTATACTCACCAATTAGTGTTCTCCTTTTTTTTACATTCTAGTTTGTGAATATTATTCACATTATGAATGTTTGGATTTTGTAGCAGCAGATTGTAAACAATGTGCCACTTCTACATTGACTTCAATGGCCAAGGTGAATTACTGTGTATTTGTTTTTGTTGTTTTTTTCTTTTCATTCCATTCTTTCTGATTAATTTGCGTTAGTTATGTTGTTTACTTTGACAATTTTTAACTAGTCAGTTGTTGAGTCAGCCAGTTAGTATGTCACAGACTATGTGGAACCTGGTACATATCCGTATCTAAGTTCCTACATCACAACAGCACAGCCAAATAATGTTAAAAAGACAGGTGTCAGAGTGGCATAGAAGTAATAGAAGAAGAGATTAGGCATAGACAACATGATTTGTGAAGAAATTATAGATCTTTGGATTAAAAAGTATCCCCATAGGTGTTTTTGAAGCACCGTATATTTTGAGACCATCGAGTTAGAGATTCTGAGATTAGACTCAGAAAACTAAATGACGATAGAAAATCGATTGAAAAGATATTGAAACCTTATTGATCGAGATATATAGGACATGTACTACTCATATCTATTCACAGACTACTTTGATGTGCGATGATGGTTGGTGTAGATGAAGATTGGAAGAAAGCTTGAAAGATCAAGCGAAGATTTGGTATTAGTCCATGAAGATGCTAACTATTGAACTGATCCATGTAGTTACATGCAAACTACTTTATCGGAATGCATGTAATTATCGTCACTAATGATTAGAGGCTTTGGTGACATGGATAATAATCATTCTCAGTGCATTGACTCTTTGTCTTGGTTTAAATCTTTAGTTTTGTGATTCCTCACGATTTTGTTGACTGATTCATATTTTGTTCTCGAATTGTATCTTAAACACCTCTACTACTGTGAAATTCACCCTGACAATTTTATATCGCCGTGCTAATGGACTATAAAAACTTGAACCAATGTACACATATACCAGATTCTGCATTGCCCACGACTGACTGACTATAGCTTTAAAACTGAGGTTCTAAAAGAAGAAAAACAAGGAGCGCATCTACATCATTATGACTCATTCTTAGCCAACCCAACATCTTAAACCAATGGCTATTAGGATCGTTGAGACCTTCAATAATATAGTTATGATTTCTATTTTCTTGTTGTTTGAAAACCAAGTCCAAAAGTTTTTGAATAATTCATTGAACAAAATAAATATCGATATCACTAGTCAATGACGTATCCCTTAAAGTTTCAAAATAAGTTTTCTTGTTTTAATTATAGTCTCCAACATGTATACCTGATACAGTTGAAACAAGAAACTCCTATATGATGTCACGTTTATTGAAGAATTTTTCAAAATCGTACTCATCAAATGACCCTAATGATTCACCGCTTATTGATTTTACTGATAATGAATTAACTAACAAATGTATCAATAATATTAACACTACTACTACTAGTACTACTGCTACTTCAGCTGTCAGTAGTACAATTCCCAGTACTATGTTTAATACTAGTAGTACTAATACGTCAGTAGCGTTGATTTCTTATTCTTCTTCAACGAATACACCTAAAACATCAACACAATGCACTCCAGAAATCAGTGAACTAGCATTATTAGAAGCTGTGAAAACATTATCATCATCATCATTGTCAGCATCTCCGCAAACAACTTTAGGAACTAGTGAAGAACAAGTATTGCATACGACAAAATCAGCAACAGATACTTCCATACCTCCTGTCAAATCTTCATTAATATCTTCACATGTACAACAATCACATCATTGGCGTGAAGGTAATTTACCAGTCAACTCAAAATGTGCTTCATGTCGTAAAACATGTTGGTCTGCTGAATGTTTAACTGGTTTACGATGTGAATGGTGTGGTGTTACAGTGAGTGGGATTGTTTATTTTTTCTTTGGTTATAGTACTTAACCATCTACGCTTAATGTATGCTTATACGTGGTTTAGACAGTTAGTTAATGCCATGATATACTTTCTAACATTGACAGTTAGATTTCAAGTTTAATTTAGCCCAGTAGAGAAACTTTCAAATTATATTACAAACTTTATTTCAAGAGATTAAGTGTTATCAATTGATTGATTCTTGGCGCGTGTTAGTTATTCTTGAGGTCGGTTTGCATCCATATAGGAAATATCAGTTACCTTAAGATAACAGATATGCCTTTCTGATGATAGACAACTAACGAGAAACCCAGGTCCATGGTTTCCAGCCGATTATTTCAATCGCTTAGGAAGTATATTTATTTGTATCGTCAATTTCAACTTAAACTTATATCATAAATGTGATAGCTTTTTATTCTTCTATAATGTTTCAAAATGCTCGTCAGCGGACTGTGCTCCTTTACGAGGAGTAACAGGTGTAAGTAAGTATATTGTTTCAAAGGTAACATTCTTAATCATACATTTAAATTATTTTATAATTTTTATTTAGACGCATTATTCATGCTATAGAAATATACCGTTAGAATGTGATTTCGGTGTATTAAGAAATATCATGCTTCCACCATATTGTGTATCAGTGCCTCGTACAAGTTTATTGGTTGAACAAATTATTGGTATGTGTAGACCTCAACCAGAAACACTAATGGGAGGTAATTTTAATAAAGATAGCCTAATTCTATTTTTATACATTATTTTCTACAAATGGTTTGAATAATTTTCCTGATTAGCGTAGACAGAACAAAATTATGGAAGCTTCTTCCACACTACGGAGTGCCGGAGAAGATAGTAGATATCATACGGAATTCGTATGATAGATTAAACTACAAAATCGTGCATGGAGGACAATTGACAGACTCATTCAAGGTAAAGACCGGTGTCAGGCAAGGTTGTTTACTCTCACTCTTATTCTTTCTCCTGGTGATCCACTGGATCATGAAAAAGTCAAAATCTGAACAGAAGCATGGGATACAGTGGAGAGTTAGGATGCAGCTGGACGATCTAGACACCGCAGATGATCTGGCTCTTCTATCGCATAGGTAACAACAAATGCAGGAGAAGATGACCAGTGTAGCTGCAGTCTCAGCAGTAGTAGGTCTCCACATACACAAAGAGAAAAGCAAGATTCTCCGATACAACACAACATGCACCAATCCGATCACCATTGACGGAGGAGATTTGGAAGATGTAAAACTTTTACATATTTGGGCAGCATCATCGATGAACACGGTGGATCTGATGCAGATGTGAAGGCACGGATTGGCAAAGCAAGAGCAGCATATTTACAACTGAAGAACATATGGAACGCAAAACAATTTACAACCAACACCAAAGTCAGAATTCTCAATACAAATGTGAAGACAGTTCTACTGTATAGTGTCGATACCTGGAAAACCACGAAAGCCATTATCCAGAACATATAGGTGTTTATTAACAGTTGTCTGTGCAAAATACTTCGGATCCGTTGGCTGGACACCATCAGCAACAACCTACTGTGAGAGAGAGAACAAATCACATCCCAGTGGAGAAAGAAATCAGAAATAAGTTCTGGAAGTGGATAGGATACACATTGAGGAAAGCACTCAACTGCGTCATAAGACAATCCCTCACATAGAATCGTAAAGGCCAAATGAAGAGGAGAGGAAGACCAAAGAACACATAACGCCGAGAAATGGAGATAGACATGAGAAGAATGAACAAGAATTGGATGAAACTAGAAAAGAAGGCCCAGGACAGATTGAGTTGGACAATGATGGTCGGGAGCCTATGTTCCATTGGGAGTAACAGGCATATGTATGCAAGTAAGTAATTTTCTACAAACCACTAACTATACTACTTAATTACAAAATTATTTCCATCGGAAAATGGTAGATTTCCATTGGTAACATATAAGGTAATCAGAAAATTAAATATTTTATGAACTCAATAAAAGTTATACTATTTTTTCAATTTTATGTAGTTTTGTTTTAGCACTCAAGCAAAACAATAACATCATAATTCAGTAGTCCATACAATAAATCATTTCAAGTTTTTTTTATTGAGATAACAGGAAAGATTTGTGACTCCGGTTAATGATTTTGATAGAGTTCTGTTCTTTAAGTCACGCAACAAAAGCTCCATTCTAAATGAGAATTAAGAGTCAATCTACTACACCAAAATGTTACAGTATTGTTCGTTATCGGAATTGACCAGATAAAACACTCTCCATCAACTAAGAATACTCAATGTTTATTACTAAGCAACTCAAAGAATATAAATACACTATTATAAGTTTTGATTGTTGAGTTTTCCTTTGGCTGATTAAGAGTTTCGATTGAGATCATGAACCGATTGATGTTAGACCACACTGAAAACCTTGAAGCACTGGACGGCCGTCTCGTCACATTGTGGGACTTCTACGACCCCGCTTGCGGGAATCGAACCCAGGGCCTTCAGTCTTGCACACGAACGCTTAACCTACTGGACCACTGAGCTGGCATCCAACTGTGTCAATATCTAACCTTAACCAATCCACGTATTCGCGTGACCATCTTCCTTTGTATTGAGGTAGACACTTGTTTCTACCCGACACGCTTAGCTCCACTGGTCACGACTTCGCACTAGAACTCCGAGAATTTTCTCACGAAGCTAGTCACTTGTGAGATTGTCAAGATCTTGATTGAGATCATGAACCGGTTGATGTTAAACCACCGTTGAAAACCCAGAAGCACTGGACGGCCGTCTCGTCCTATTGTGGGACTCCTCAACAGTGCGCATCTACGATCCTGCTCGCGGGATTCGAGCCCGGGGCCTTCAGTCTCGCGCACGAATGCTTAACCTACTTAACCACTGAGCCGGCATCCACGTTTTCAATGGTGGTCCAACATCAATCGGTTCATGATCTCAATCAAAAACTTGACAGTCTCAACAACCCCTAGACTGATAAAGTATTATTAATTTATTATACGTGTAAGGATGTTTTAAAAAATACATCACTGTACATTTAGTGGTGATACATTATCTGCAATGTAGAAATTTGATGTTCACAATCTATTAAATACTGTTGACAATATATTTTTAACTAAGGTTCTAATCTCTAGTTCTATAGTTAAGTTATTCAGAGAAGTGCGCACAAATTTTTGTTTCAAAATTGTTTACAAATTCGTACTCATGATAAATATTCTTAAAGTTTTGAGGACACACATTATTCCTTAGAATAATAAAAACTAACAGTGGTCTTCAATAGAAAAGGAAACATACAACTAAAGGGTCTTCCATCAGTCCAATGGTAGATAAAAGTAGTATTACATTATTAAAACCTAACATTTAGGCACATCTTGATGTATATTTAGTTCAAAATCCAAAATACAAGGTCCAGAAGAACTAAGCAGTAGATAAAGTCTTATTATAGCATACTTAAATCATGTCACATATCGACAAATTAGTTAGTCCCATGAGATTTGGTTTTCAGCTCAAGTGATGGCCAAACTCATCGGTGATAGATAATAGCTCTTGTCGCATAAAACCCTTACCTTTATCGTAAAATATATATATATATATATATATATATATGATTGACACCCCGATTATATTTGCTTTAGTATCCTACATCGGAATTATTTGGTCTAGTTGCTTAGTCAATTTTATCTACACTTAGTCCCTTCAAAGTAGTATTTTGTTTATTTATTTTATGTTTCGTGTTAATTTTTGCCACACTGAATTTGACGTAATGATTTAATTTATATCATATTTTAAAGTTCAAGCTCTCACAGATGAATTCTCAAGCAACGGTGATAGTCCGGAAGAATCTGGAATTGAAAGGAAATCTAACAAGGATAAAACAGATCGAGACTTTGATGGTACGTTAAAATATATTTTTTTGCATATATGCTTGTGCTACTTAAATAATAAATAAGTAGCAATAAATTATGATTGAGATTTTCGTTAAGCCGTTTTTCCTTCCATTAGTTTTTGATGTACACTTAAAACAACGACACTAGATATTTTGAAATTGATCTACCCATCATAACATATGTACTTTGTTGTGTGTTAACTGACATGAGAATTTTTTCGTTTACAATCTTGTCAACAGATTACGTACGAGTTTATGATGGCTGGGGCCGCTTTCGCAAGAAACAGTGCCGATACCTCAGTCTTGGTCGTAGTGTATCTGTGCTCAAAGTGATTGAACTTTCCTTGAAAGCTTTTCAGTTACCTCCAGATGAAGCAAGAGATTACTACCTCGTAGAGGTGAATGAAAAAGGTAGAACTAATTAATACCTATATATATTTGCGTATATTTTGCATTCTATTTTGTGAGAATAATTCCATTTATTGTCAGAACAAAAGCATAAATTCACGTATTTAGAAATCTCATTTTAAGAGTATTTTATTTATTCATTTATTTGAACATACAAATATTGGTACAAAGAGATATCGAATACATATGCGCCAAACAGGTCACTTGATTTGTGTGTGAGCTGTGTTACTACCCTGGTGCCCGGACCAAAGCAGGTGGTCTTCTTAGGGGGCCACACACACAGCCTTCAACCTAAGGGTCTGATCCACAAAGCTGCCAAGCAACGTCAGGGGATGCAGTTCCATGGTAGCCGTTAATCTTTTAGTATCTTTTCATGTTAGTTTGTTTAAATTGAAATTAAAAAAGTTTAGTATTTCTCCAACTTGTACAAAAACAAAAAATGACTTTTTGTTTTCATCTAAACTTTCAAAGACCTTACTTTCAAACTGCTTACTTAAGCCTGTTGCTCCCAATAAAGTATAGATCGCCAGCCGGCATTCTTCAACCCACTCTGTCCTCCGCCTTCCTTTCTAGTTCTATCCAATTGTTGTTCATCCTTCTCATGTCTAGCTTCATTTCTCAGTGTAAAGTGTTCTTTGGTCTTTCTCTCCTCATTTAGCCTCGAGGACTTACTAAAATGTGAATTAGTTTATGTTATAATTTAAAAACAACTAAAGTATAAATAGTAATAAACAAAAGAAAATAAAACACCCTATAAAACTATTTCATTTGTACAATTTTATATATACACATAGCAAATCAATCATATAATATATTACTTAATTGCAATAACGTAAACGGATAGTAGTCAATTATTTCTTTTCTGTTATGATCAACTACATAGATTATTTCAGGGATCATCAACAGTAAGAGTATGATTATTGTTTATATAAGTGTTTTGATAATTATTTAAGTATAACATTAATTATATTTATAAATATAGGCTTTTCCCAAAGAATCTTATCCTTACATACATATAAATGAATACCGCCATGATCGTGATATAAAGATGTCTCGTAGATCGCAAACTTATGTTTCTAATAGAAGTTCATTTATTCTTTCTATTTACGAGTGGCCTACGAGTAGATCAAAACCAAATATTATGAATTCTCACTTTATGTATACCTCTGGACAGCACAATAGCAATGAAGTGATTAAAAACAGCTATTCACTCAAATTACTCCTTTTGTTTTGAGGATTTCTAAACTATTTGTCTCGTGCGTGCTACTTATATCAACAAAGTAATATATAGCACTAGTCAGTAATAGAATGTCTGGCAACAGAAAGTTGATAAGATCAAAGAGGTAAGAGCGAAAATAGAATGCAATTAATATGAAAATGCGGGAACAATGAAGTCTGAGACGATTGATTGATATTTGTAAAAAGAACAGTCCATTTTGAGACAATTGATCGGCTTTTTGCAAATTAAGTATTCACTGTATAGTTCTCAGATTCTATTAGGATGTTCTGTAATTTTGTGCTCAAATAAACTCTAATGTTTCCGCTTATGTTCTCGTTTTCTACATTCGTAAATATCCTAAATCCGGATTGCACATAAACGGACTATGGCTTAGTGGTCTAGACGTTAAGCGTTCGTATATGAGACCCAAGGTTTTCGGTACGATTTAATGTAGTTGGACCATGGATACTCACTGCAAAGATGTTCCATACCAGAATGTAACGACCTTTCACTGTCTACAAGTATTCAACGGTTGCCTAACTTAGATCAGATTATAGCGACTCACGTGCAATTGAGTTTGTTCTCATTTAATTCGGTTAAGCCCTTTTGTTAACTTATTTAGTGGACAGTCATCTGTACAACTTATTGTACTATTATTATTGTTGTGCTTGTATGAAATATGTATGCTTGGACACTGTTTACGGCCTACGCATATATTCATTCTGCCAGCTTTATTATTAGCTGCTTAATCGATTCGATGATCCATCCATTTCTCTTTATATACATATACATGTACATTTAACACTACACACGCGGTTCGCTGACTCACTCATCCGCCTCTCTGCTTTGTGGTCTAAGTTATCTGCTAATAAAACTGTAGTCGCTGCTTCTCTTTGCCTTTTGATTTCAAACACCGTTGAGAATTATATAAGATAACGGTTACGAGAGTGATTGATTAACGAAGCACAGCTACTACAAGTTCATGTTTTATTTTAATTTGTCTATCCTTAAATTTGTTCTTATTGTAAATTACACGTTTAAACTAGAGTCTCAGTAATAAACTAACCGACTAGTACACCTAACTAAGTTCTGTTAGTATAAATCTAACAATTTTCCTGTTTACTAAATTTTTTACATGTCGATGAAATTAATGGATAATTTTTTTTATTTTATTTACTTGTTAACTACACATTATTACTATTGATACCATTATTATTATTATTATTATTATTACCTAACTCAGATGGAAATGAGCATAGATTACATAGCTCTGGATGTTTTAAATCTCAACTACAATTTGAAACTCGAAGACCACAAATTATAATACGTTCTCGTGATCGTAATCAAGATCGTCAATATATTCAAACATTTCCTGGAACATTACAGTTAGTTTGTTATTCATTATATAAATACTTAATTATATTTTTATTATTTAATAATACTCAATTTATATGACACTGAGACCATAATAATCACAAATTACCTGATTCCAAATAGTGGTTGAATTTTCTACACCAGTTTATCTCAGTGTCAAGTGATTCTTCATCGAACTTGTTCTAAAATGTAGTTTTCTTTTCGTTAAGGAAGTCTCCAAATCATACACGTCTTATTTATTGTTTAGATGATAATCGATGATATAGAACTTGACTTCATTGTATGAGTAAACTGAGAACAGTTTAAATGACTCAACATTTTTAACTCAACGCAAATGACTTATTCAAGAAACAGGTGAGAATATCACACAATAAAATACAATCACATTGAATAATTCACATATATATGCGTTTCACTCCTAAAATCTGATCAAACATATTAAGCATAAAATTATTTGAGTAATATCAAAATAATTTGACCAGAGTGAACAACTGAAAGCAACTGAAAAGAATTGCTCAAAACAGAGTTAGGTGGAGAATGCTAATGGGCGGCCTATGTTCCTCCATGAGGGGTAACAGGAGTAAGTAAGAGTCTGTTTTTTTTTTCTGTCAAACATCATATTTTAAAGATAATTATAAAGGATCCTATAACTAGATGAAACAGTTGTTCAGTACTTATTGCTTTTCAATAAATATTTGATTAAAATCAGTCTGATCGAGAAAAAGATTAGGAGCAGATGAATCTGTGTCATTGTGAATGATGATCAACCATATCACTCTCAATCTCCAGCTGCCAACAGCGGCTCTAAGATGAACCCCAAATAAGTAGTATCTACTTGCCAATATAACCCAAGTGAACAATCAGTGATTTGAAGAACTGATGCTATGTCTTGATTTGAATGTTCTTAGCTTTCTCCCAAATTAATTCTATACTCTTGAACATTACCCATCGAGGTAGGCGATTGTTTTGGGTTGTACTTATCTGTTTTTCAAGATATAATCGAAACAATTATACTAAAACTGAAATTACATTTTTAAATAAAAAAATAACTCCAACGTTTCACTCGAAAAACTAATTCGAGCTCCGGATCGAATGTAATCAACAGATAACCATAAACACTTATCTAGTTATCAATTTAGGGGATATGTGGAGATTGTAGTATTTTCAAAGTTAAATTCATGAGTCACTGTAAGCTAAGCCACCATCGAGAACCTGGAAGCACTCGACGGTCGTTTCGTGCTAGTATGAGACTACTCGACATTGCGCACCCATGATCCTGCATACGAGACTCGAACCCAGGACCTCCGGTTTCAAGCACAAACGCCTAAACTCCAGACTAGTGGATCGGAATCCAATGATGCTAATGTCCAACTTCGATCAATCCATGATCTTGTACAATCCTTCATCCATAGTCTCAGGCGGATGACTGTCTCACACCCGACACAGATTGGACTCCACTGATAATGGCTTCTCATTTGAACTCCAGGAAATCCATCTTGAAGTTAGTCACTTGTAAGCACATTATATTACCAATTTAGGGGATTTAAGGAGATTGTAATATATTCAAAGTTAAATTTACGAGTCAATCTAAGTTAGACCACCATTAAAAATGGCTGTCCAGTTCTTCCAGGTTTTCACTAGTGGTCTAGTTTAGATTGACTCATGAATTCAACTTTGAAAAAAGCATATCTAATTGTTGATAGTTAATTAATTAACAAGACTTTAAAACTTATTTTATATAACGAAACACATTTCTGTCAAGAAAGAGTAACAGTTTTCTTACTTTTCAGTCACCAAAGCACATGTGTTTAATAACGAATACTATCAATCATAATAAAAGTTCCTTTACTTGGATGAAATTACATAACTTTCATATGTAATCTAGTGAATACATTGTTGATGTATAGTCATGATTGAATATTAAATAGTATGATATTGGTTGTTTTTAATATAACTTACAGTTTTTTTTGTTTTCATGAACTGGGTGATAAAGTTTTTAAGCAAAGATAGTGGCTAGTAGAAGAATCCAGTATGACGCGCGTTTCTTCCGATTAGGGACTCTTCAGCTGGATGTACCTGCATTTCAAAGTTGATGTTTATTCCAAGACCCGAACCCATCGCGTTCTCCACTTAGCTACTGAGTCCTAACAGCCACCTACTTGTGCAATGGGGTGAAGTTTCAATTCACTTGATGTTACTTTACTTGTATCTTCCTATTGTTATTTAAGACTGCAATTGATCAATCTCATGTTGATACAAAGGATGCAGGTACATCCACCGGACGAGCATCAAATGGAACGAAACGCGGGTCTTCGATTCCACTGCTAGCCACTATCCATCTTTGTTTAAGAAGCTTGCGACTTAAGGCTTTATCGAGGCATTCACACAGGATGCACATATGCCAACATGAGACTGATCAATTGCAGTCCTAAATAAGAATGGTAAGATACAAGTAAAATAACACCAAATGAATTGGAGTGATAAATGTTCAATATTTAATATTGAATAAACAATTTATACTTCATTATTTTTTCTATATTGTACTCAATGATCATTCTATTAATTAGAATTTTTGTTAATTAATTTATATATCTACTTCTATTTTCGATAGTCAATTCACAGATGTTGAATTGTTACCAATACAAATCTCAGTGACACGTGATACCACAGTTCATGATGTTATTTTACAAGCACAGAAAAGATTTGGACTCGAGGTAAGAAAACTCACTGCTTAGTAACAGAGTAAAGTAAGAAAAAAAAAGACCTCTATTTATTTGAAAATGTTTTATTTATTTTAAAAAAAAGATATCATATTGGTGACGCCTCTGTTCGAGAAACTCTGGTTCACCTCTCTCACCCTATTTATTCTCTGCTAAAGTTCAAACCCTTCCGAACACATAAAAAAGAAGATAGATTGTTTAAGAAAGTTTATTTGTTAACTAATAGTCCAGCTTATGTAGATTTATAGATCATTTAAATGGTTTAACAACAGTGTAGAAGCTTCTTTGGCACTACGGAGTGCCTGAGAAGATGGTCGATATCATACGGAATCCGTATGATGGATTAAACTACAAAATCGTGCTTGGAGGACAATTGACAGACTCATTCAAGGTAAACACCGGTTTCAGGCAAGGTTGCTTATTCTCACTCTTATTCTTTCTCCTGGTGATCCACTGGATCATGAAGAAGTCAACTTCTGAACAGAAGCATGGGACACAGTGGAGAGTTAGGATGCAGCTGGACGATCTAGACATCGCAGATGATCTGGCTCTTCTATCGCACACACAACAACAAACGCAGGAGAAGACAACCAGTGTAGATGTAGTCTCAGCAGTAGTAGGTCTCCACATACACAAAGAGAAATGCAAGATTCTCCGATACAACACAACATGCACCAATCTGATCACCATTGACGGAGGAGATTTGGAAGATGTAAAACCTCTACATATTTGGACAGCATCATCGATGAACACGGTGGATCTGATGCAGATGTGAAGGCGCAGATCGACAGAGCGATAGCAGCATATATACAACTGAAGAACATCTGGAACTCAAAACAACTGTCCGCAAGCCAACACCAAAGTCAGAATTTTCAATGCAAATGTGAAGACAGTTCTACTGTATAGTGTCGATACCTGGAAAACCACGAAAGCCATCATCCAGAACATATAGATGTTTATTAACAGTTGTCTATGCAAAATACTTCGGATCCGTTGTCTGGACACCATTAGCAACAACCTACTGTGAGAGAGAGATCAAATCACATCCCAGTGGAGGAAGAAATCAGAAAGAAGTGCTGGAAGTGGATAGGATACACATTGAGGAAAGCACTCAACTGCGTCACAAGACAATCCCTCACATAGAATCGTAAAGGCCAAATGAAGAGGAGAGGAAGACCAAAGAACACATTACACCGAGAAATGGAGATAGATATGAGAAAAATCAACAAAAACCGGATAGAACGGGAAAGGAAGGCCGAGGAGAAAATGGGTTGGAGAATGACGGTCGGTGTCCTATGCTCCATAGAGAGCAACAGGCGTAAGTAAGTAAATAAATAAATAAGTAAATGGTTTAAATGGTGAATGTGTAAGCATCCGAAACTGTTTGAAACTACAATGTTAGTATATCAAGCGGTACAATCAGAAATAAACCTATGTTTAGTATTACAAGGTACAAGTAAGCAAAATGTAACTGTTATCTTTTGAAAATTCATTCTTCCTATGAGATTGAAATCAATATTACCAAATATCACAGCCTAACATTTATAACCAATTGTCTATTCGGGCAACGAAATCGGCTTTGTGTGAAGTGGTTCTCATCAGTATTAGTTTAACTTTTGGCTGTTCACCTTGCTTATTAATTATTAATCATGAAATCAAAGTACAAAATTTTCTATCTATTCCCACTAATCACCCAACATTGAATGGTAATTGTTGTGGTTAAGAAAATATCAGTGATTCGATCATTTTTTTTGTTTGGACTCGTCAGATGGATGTACCTACATCCCAGAGTTGATATTTACTCCAGAACTCAAACTCAGTAATGTTCGATTCAAATGTCACCACATTATCCACGTAGCCATTGAGTTCAGATAGTCACTAGTTTGTACAAGGTGAATTACATCGAATAATTGTCACAATAAATTCAGTTCAAAGTATTACTACGTTACTTAAGACCACCCTTTATTCTACCATGAATGTCGATATTTCACAAGCTAGCGGTTATCTGGACTCATCAGCTAAGTGGATAATGTGATGGCATTCGAATCTAACGTTACTGCGTCGGAGTTCTGCAGTGAACATTAACTCTGGGATGTAAGTACATTCAACTGACAAGTCCCAAATAGAACAAAACGCTCTTGCTTGATTCCACTGCTAACCACCATCATCTTAGCTTATAATGCTTGTGACTGAAGGCAATTTGTACAGAATTCACAATATGCTAATAAGACACTGATTAATTATAGTCCTAAAAATCAGATTCAAACAACCAATACAAGATGAATTAAAGTTACTATTGTTTTAATATAGAATTTAATTTATTCAATTCAAAAACTTGCTTTCTTCTAATCTTCTAATACATGAAGAAAACTAGCTATTATACACTTCTATATTGAAGTATTCTTTCTTTATTCCATTATGAATAGTTTATTAGACTACAATCTTATTTTTTTAACACTCCTGAATTACCCTGGTAAAAAACAAACAAACAAACAAATTAGTTTTATATCATTAAATGAAATATTATAATCATTCAAGAAATAATCCTATATATATTCTCAATTTATTTATTTTAGCATTTAGATTCTAGTAGATTTCAATTAGTTGAAACAAATCTAGATCGTGGACTTGTTGAACGTGTAATGTCATCAGGTGAACGATTATGGACAATATTAGAACGTGTTAAACGTGAATCTGTTCGTGCATTACGTTTAACACGTTTTTATTTACAACCAGTTGAAGAATCTAAAGGTCCTGTTGTTACTTTATTTGTTGGAAATTTAAAAAAAGGTTTAAGTCAACGTTTATATGAACGTATTCTACTTGAACGACTTGGTATAGAGAATAAATGGGATTTTATTGGTGAGTTTTAATTAATTTCAATTTTTGATATTTATTGTCAACAGTTAACAAAATATTATAAAAAGCATTGCAAAGTTCTGTCATCTTAGTATAACACTCTTCAATAATGTGTAGCTAGTAGCCTATTGATGATCAGTTAGTCAATCAGTAACAACGTAGAACCTTGTACGTATGTATATCAGTTCAAGTTATCATTACCACATTAGCAGAGAGATACAATTGTCGATTCAATTCCCATAGTGGTAGAATTGAGTAGAGTAAAAGTATAAGCAGTAATCGGGATGGCTAGCCAAAATCAATGAGTGTACAAAATATATGTATGCGGAAATCCATTCTCGTATTTGACTTATTTATTTCTGTTATACACTAACGTGAGTTAAGTTGATGATTGAATACAATCATAGGCAACATGTGTACATTTAATAACATTCATACAATCCAACTAGAGTCGGATATGGGGCCAAAAAATAAAAGACACGATTCACAAAATAAAATGAATTCATTGTATATTTGGTTATATTTCGAAAGATTAAAAGCATCAGAAAACAGCATTCAATATATTTTAAAGTTAACAGTTGCAGTGTCATAGATATATCAATACAGAATTTTCAGTGAAATATTTCTGGAATGTACTTCGATAATGATTATATAGGTAAATCTTCTGGATATATATGGAATCATGAAGATCTTAGTAATACAAAATCAATTCACAGTATAAAACTTAAGTGAAAATCATTCACGTACTTTATTATTTATTTCTCAAATCAAAAACATCTATGGATAGTGTTTTTCTAATAGAATTGAAATGATCACCAATTATATTAAGATGTTGTTGAGTTGTCATGTTGCCACCCAAATTAGTGAATGGGCACAATCACAATCCAAATATCCGAAGCTTTATTGTTGGCGACGAAGTTTTCATTAAATCCTACCACGGAAAGTACCAATGGGAGCCCGGAAAAGTTTTGTACAGAGTCCGAGGAACTTTTAGAACATCTGTACGACAAACAAATCAAATCCATAAAGACAAAAGAATGATGCACACTCAAAATAACCAGCCGAATCTTTCGTTAGAGTTAATCTTAGACACATCAACGTTACATATGTTCAAGGACACTGAACTGAACTCTCGGACATGATAGACAACAAGAATAATGGGACGCCACCTCAAACTAGTAGTTAAGTTACAAGTGGATCCTAGGAAGAAATCTTATTCGGGGGAGGTGTTGAGTTGGCTTTCCGAGAGCTACAATAGAGCCTACAGAGGCCCTAAAGGAGTCGAAGAGTTCCAGTCAACCAGAACATGATGGAGCTTTTTAGAATATCAACGTGGCATGCTACTATTGGTCAGTAGCATAATATGTCTCTTAACGGATTGGCCAAAATTAAATGTTCATTTAAAAAATGCTAATATCTATAAATACCTGTGTTTTTCTTTACAAAAAAATGAACCTTTGAAATAAAGTGCTTCTCACATATTTTGCACCCTTTTCTCTCGTGTTCAGGTCACTATGTAGTTCTAGCTTGCGGGTTACGAGAATAACTTAGCAACCCAAATAAAGCGTTCGATTAGCAACACTTACAACATATTTACTACTAAGTTATAACATTTACTGGTAAAGATTTCCATTATGTTATTCTGAACAAAATCATTCCATGAGAACAGTATTATTTAATAACTATTTACTTAATAATGAATTCATATGCATATCCAAGAAATATGAATCAAATCAGCTTACGATTCAATGATAACGTTGGAGAAAGATCACGTAATAAATAATGATACATGTTGTAATAATTATAAGAATACTAAACTGTATAATAGCATAAATATAATTATTATTAAACATTATTCAATAAGAAATGTCTATGAATAATTCATTTAAATAATATAAGTAGTAAAGAAAAATTTAAGAAAAAAAAATCAATAAAAAGTATCCAATAAATCTTATCTGGCTAAGAAATTGGTAGTGGAAATTTCACAAATTCCTTTCAACATTTAGACATTAACATTGTTAATTTGAATTCATATAACTCCTACTATATACATAGGAGATAAGATTAAACCTCATATTCGTTTGATTACCTTTGATTCCATGATAGTTTCAAGTTTAGATCAAAAAAGAAATTATCTTTCAACTTATTTATATCCTTGTTTCACTTTGATCATTATTATTACAACCTTATGATGTTAACAAGTTAGTTTATTACTGTGCAACAGACATTTGTAATGTCGTGGCTTAATAATTCACTATGTGAACGATGACTGGCTGTGTTGACTATTTGTTTTCCCATGAATAAATGCTAAAAAATAGATAAGACAGTTTATGCATCTGAAGATGCTCTAACTAAAAAATAACTACAACAGTAAATGCATAAACAGCCAGGCAACAACTCACAGTAATTAAAAAGATACACATTTTCACTTAACAAACTAAAGCTTACGATTTAGGGAGTAATGGAAACACATGAATCAACTGTTATTTATTATACAATAAAAATTATGGGAAATAATATTTCGAAAAATAGGTTACACAGTGAAGACTTCTATCTGAAGTTTGTGTTGATGATGTTGTTCAAAAGAACGATGAAAGCTCCACGATCAAACCATCCAGCTCAGAGAACAAAACTTCATCAAAATAGGTTACACAGTTTATCATTCTTCTTTATTTTTCTTATTAGAGCAATTAAGAAAACTTGATAGTATATAATAAAACAATCTAAATACTTTGCTCCCATCTACGACATGACCATCATAATTGAAGTTTAATAGAACAGTATTACGGATTGATCTGTTTAGATCAGTGTCATATTATCTGTCAGAAGGCGGTTTCGTGGGGATTGTAGTAATTTCAACAGTTGAGACCACAACTCAATTAAAGCTAGACCACCATGGAATATCTGGAAGCACTGGACAGCCGTTTCGTCTTATTGTGGGAGTCCTCAGCAGTGCGCATCTACGATCCCCCACTTCCGCGATATCTGAACCCAGAACCTATCATTCTCGCGCGCGAGCGCTTAACCATTAGACCACTCAGCCGATATCTAATTGTGTAAATGTCTAACTTCAACTAATCCACAAAATTGTGCGACACATCCACTATTGTCATCATTGAGTTACTATCTCACAACACACCTGGTTGAACTCCACTGGTCACTGCTTCTCACTAGAACTTCAGGATATACATTTTGAAGTCAGTGACTAGTGAGCATATGTTGATTAATATCAGAAAGGATATTTTGTGGATATTACAGTAATTTTAATGGTTAAAATCATGAGTCAGTTGAAACTAGACCCATAATAGGACGAAACAGATGTCCAGTGCTTCCAGGTTTTCCATGGTGGTCTAGTAAAGAATTATGAAATATCATATGCGATGTTTAAAGAATGTAACCATAAATTCGCATAATCTGATTTCATCTTATCATAACATTATGATTGATTTCTATAATTGACCTAAATAACCTATTATCTTCTTGTTATTTTTTTTAATTTTTTTTATTTATTTATTTATAGAAGTAATATATTATGATTTTGGTAGTTTAGTATTAGTATATTTAAATGCAGAACGTGCTGATGAAGCATATCATTTATTAAAACAAAGTACATTTGAAGATCGTCCAATTTTAGTTATGATATTGCCTAGACTTAAACCAAGTAAATTACCAGATGATATTAAACCTTTATTAGTATTAGTCAATGTTAAATCAGGTGGATGTCAAGTAAGTGTATACTATTAATTTATTAATTCATTTAAAGTAGTTTTTATTCTATTGTTTATATTTAATACATTCCAACAATTAAGTTTATAATCATTTTAGTTTGACAAATATTTAATATTATCTCTTCAGAAATTACATTCCTGTCATAACTTCTCAATTGAATGCTACATTTTATATCCAGTCGTCGATGATTATTGTGTCGGGAACGATTATCGCTTATACTTGAAATAAGGAATCTTTGCAATTCTCACGACACAAAAGTAAGAACACAAAGACTGGTAGAAGTGATGATTTATTAACCCCAAAACATGATGATGACAACGACGACCCAAGTCGAATATACACTCATTTATATATTGATACTGTTGTGACTTTATCTCCGGCTTGTTATCATGTGATTTATCCACCAATCAAAATACGATTTATACAATCTTAGCACTCTACCAAACCAATGACGTTCGACCGGTATGAGTAGCCTAGCGTCCTTATTGGTCTTATGTTCGCCTAGTCCGTTCACTTGAGTCCAGAACACCAATACCAGCTTCCACTATGTCAATCGAAACGAATCGAATCGAATAATGTATTTCAGACATACTGGGTTTATATATCAACCAAACAGACCGCAACGCACTATAAAATAGGAAGTAACATTTGTATATAATAAAGCCAAAAAGTGACTGTGAACGTGGGAGGCAGTAGTTAATAAACTGAACATAGCTTAAGAACAGTAAATCGTACAACAATAAATTATAGGTCAAAATAAAGCTTATAACAACGGAAATATACATATACATAATCTAATTACTGAATATTTATACCATGAGAATATATATTTAATATTAGTTCATTAATTGTCCTCGGGAGTTACCCATAATTTAATCTTCACTAGGATATAACAGATACGTATTCCCATTTTGATTAATAATTAGAATGAAATCAGATATATAAAAACTGTAAATAATTATAAGCAGATATGTATTAAGGTTAGCCATGGAATTCAAGAAGCAAATTTCATTCTATTTTGGACTTGTCAGATGGATGTACCTACATCCCAAAGTTGATATTTACTCTGGAACTCAAACTCAGAAATGTTCGATTCAAATGTTACCACATTATCCACGTAGCCATTGAGTTCAGATAGTCACTAGTTTGTACAAGATGAATTACATCGAATAATTGTCACAATGAATTCATTTTAAATTATTAAAAGGCCTCCAAATGCCCTGGTACGGCCGAGGGTGTGGAGAGTTCGCTCTCTCTCGAAATACTCTCACATGGCCACATGCTTACAACCACTGACAGGGAAGTCCTACTCACTGACTTCTCATGGCACAGGTGTTGCTTACGAAATTGAGAGGACGTAAAGAGAATGGTTGGCGCTTTAACTGGGCTAGTGGACATGGAGAGTTCACCTAGGGGAGTTGGAAAACCCTGATTCCAAAGCAATGGTGTACATGGGCTCCAGTATCCTGAAGGAACAAATGGCGTATGAACCAATCGTTGGTCACTGGCTACCATGGGACTGCATCTCCTTACGTCGATCCACTGCTTTGTTGATCAGACCTATAGGTTGAAGGATCGCTGTGTGGCCCTCTAAGAAAACCACCTGCTCCCGCTACGTTTTACCATAAAATTAATTGAGTAAAATATTTGTGTCTTATTATTTGTAAAAAGAAGTGGTAATGTCTCTTAGAAAACAAAATTATTTCGTCGTGTAATAAAGTGTTATCGGTCGTAACCCATGATTATTGAATCCCATAGTTTATGTCACTAAATGAGCTTCGTCAGACAAGCAATAAAAACTAGGAAACGCTGAAGAGCTGTCATGTCCTAGTATGAGACCGTTCAACAGTATGCATCTATCGAAATATGAACGTTTTAGGTCTAAATTTGATTGCTCGTTGACGTAAACTATTAAAAATTTTATTATCACTTAGTATAATAAGCTATTCTCCTGAATTTCTTTCTTGAAAGGGTGCCGATTTAATCACGTCATTTAGGAAACTGTTAAATCCTCATCAAGTTTTCAATTTGGACTACGGTGGTCCCCTACCAGGTTTACATTGTTTTCGTCATTTAAAACAATTTAAAATACTTGTATGCGGTGGTGATGGTACAGTTGGATGGGCGCTTTCATGTTTAGATAACGTTGGTCAAGATGCTGCATGTCCTACACCACCGATGGCAATTCTACCACTGGGTACTGGTAATGACTTGGCACGAGTTTTACGTTGGGGTTCCGGTTATACTGGTGGTGAAGAGCCTTTAACGATACTGAAGTAAGCGAGACACGACAAAAAATCCTTTGAATTTTTAAATGATATAGATCTTAATTTATTAACATGTATGACTAAATGATAACAATTTTCTTGAATAGTTTTTACTTTTCTGTCAATATCTACTTTTTAATTAAAAGCTTTTTCTCATATTGGCTAATAACTCTCCAGAAACCACCTTAAAAACTATCAGAGTATTTGAGTGGACTTGATATCGGTTGTTTATATCCCCATTAAATTGAGAGCCCCTCATCTGGGGAAGTATCTATTCGTTGACATCCTAAACTTTTGCAATAAAAATTAACTACTTATTAGTAGTATGAATATTTGTAACAAATATTACACCTTTTAGACAACTTTCCAACCTCAGTAGTTTATTAATTGTTTGCTGTATCCATTCTATATAGGATTGATTCAGGTTAAATCATATATTTCCTTGAGTTAGTCTAATAAAAATATCAACCATTTTCATGTGATTTGATTGCTTCGTCAGTGTTATTCATTTTATCAAGTCTGTAGATAAACTAACTGGAATTAAATGAAATTTTCTTTTTTTTTTCATGAAGATTTGGATCTGCACAACTTTTCAATAAAAGATATGGTTAATAATAGAGCTTATTGATTAGGTCAACTCTCACAAACTGTTCGTCAATGAGTATATTTGCTAGATAAGGTATTGTAGAGCTTTCATACCTTTGCCTGAATGCAAGAAGATAAACGAGGTGAAATATATGAACGAAGTGGTATCTGAAAACACCTCTTAGGAGTTTGCAAGATTTTAAATGTCTATCCACAATCATATGATTAATGAATCCAAATTATTCACCTCATACTTTGTTAACTGCCTTCCTTACTCTCCATAATACAGCAGAGCGCGGGAGAGAATATTGGAGAACTGTAAAGAATAATGGGTAATATGCAAGAATGGACAAATTGTAAGAGTAAATATCGTGTAATCCCAAAAGCATGTAACCTCTTTATGTAGTAAGTCAGACGGAAAACTTTACACAATAACAATTAAACATGAGAGGATCATGAGAGATTAGAGGAAAAACTTACACCAAGTTCATTTTAAGATGTGTCAGTTGACAAACTATCTTTCAATGCCTAACTAAATATACAAAATATCCGACTCCTTTCATAATAATAATAACAATATAAATGAAACTCAACAAGAAATAACATACTTATTCATGTTTATCGAATGATAACAAAATCATTTACATCATAAAAATCATTTACCAGCCAGATAGTTATAAGCAGCTTGGAACTTGGCACAAATATTCATAAGTTTTAAATGGTACATCATATAAGTATAGCCATATGAAATTATCAAGATAAATTTTGTTTTGGAATAATAGATGTAGTTATATTATCACGTAAGGTTACATACTTACTTACTTACGCCTGTTACTCCTCGTGAAAGAGCATAGGCCAACCACCAGCATTCTCCATCCAACCCTATCCTGGGCAATCTTTTCCAGCTCTTCCCAATTGTTATTTATCCTTTTCATATCTGATTCCATTTCTCAACGTAATATGTTCTTTGGACTTCCATTTTTTATCTTCTTCCCTTCAATATTCCAAGTTAAGGCTTGCCTCGTGATACAGTTTAATGATGTAAAGTAACCAAAAGAATTTCCCCATCCATTAAATGCATGAATTTGTTACCAATTATCTTGACAGATTTCAATTTTTATTTCCCTAAAATTCCCCCCCCACCTCATTCTACTTTTCTTTTGGTCTTTCCGTTGTTGTTATTGTAAATAGAGATGTTGTTGAAGCAGAAAATATTCGTTTAGATCGTTGGACTGTTGTAATTAAACCAGATCAAGCTGAAAAAGATGCACAAAAGAAACAATTACAAATTGAAGCTAATTCATCAAATACAAATGAAGATTCTAGTCGTATATTTGTTATGAATAATTATTTCGGTTTGGGTATAGATGCTGATTTAAATTTAGATTTTCATATGGCACGTGAAGAGAATCCAGCAAAATTTAATAGCAGGTATAAGTTAAATTTCTCTTTCTCTTTCTAAGTTGATTATATCATTTTATTATGATACATTAATAAATAGAGTTATCGAAATCTTCGGTATAGGGTTGTAAAATTGTTGAATTTCATTAAAATTATGAACCGATCAATCTTAGATCATCACTGAAGAACTGGAAGTACTGAACGGCCGTTTTGTTCTAGTAGGGAACTTGTCAGCAGTACGCACAGGACGCTGACCCAAGACCTTCGGTCTCGTTTGCAAATGCTTAACCTCAAAACCAATAAGATAGTATCCAACGATGTTAATGTATATGAACTACCAATCTACATTGTTGCGCAATCATCTTCCATTGTTTTCGGCAGATAACAGTCTTACATCCAATAAGCAATAAATCCACTAGTTACGACTTCTCGCTAGAACTCTATAAATTTCCTTTTGAAGCTTTCTGAGGTTTCACTATCAAAACAAAATTCACTTACTCTTTCCACAGACACATCAATGATAGTTATAATACTAAGCTACCTGAATTCATCATATCTAGTCACTTGAATGAAAGTGACTAATTTGACTAACTTGATGAATAGAATTCACTGAGTATCAAACAACCAGATAATAACTACCATTTTTACTAAAAACATAAAATTGTAAATGAAAATGAAATCTGTTTTCCACATTGTGTTCAATAGTTCATTTAATATTCGTTTACATTTCTGTTCTAAACTGATGATCATTATATCACAAGTTGAACTGATATTAATCACTCTTATTCTATTTGAGGAAAACATTTTTTAAAGTCCTGCTGATTCTAAACAATTTGACGGCTTTACATTAGTTAGAAGTACGATAAATATACATATATGTATCTTAGTCGAATTATAAAGTACATAATACTATATAAATGCTTACTTACGCCTGTTACTCCTAATGGAGTATAGGCCACCGACCAGCATTCTCTCGCCCACTCTGTTCTGAGCCTTCTTTTCTAGTTCCATCCAATTCTTGTTCATTTCTCTCATATCTATCTCCATTTCTCGGTGTAATGTGTTCTTTGGTCTTCCTCTCCTCTTCATTTGGCCTTTACGATTCTATGTGAGGGATTGTCTTGTGACGCAGTTGAGTGCTTTCCTCAATGTGTATCCTATCCACTTCCAGAACTTCTTTCTGATTTCTTCCTCCACTGGGATCTGATTTGATCTCTCTCACAGTAGGTTGTTGCTAATAGTGTCCAGCCAACGGATCCGAAGTATTTTGCATAGACAACTGTTAATAAACACCTGTATCTTTTGGATGATGGCTTTCGTGGTTTTCCAGGTATCGACACTATACAGTAGAACTGTCTTCACATTTGCATTGAAAATTCTGACTTTGGTGTTGGCTTGCGGACAGTTGTTTTGAGTTCCATATGTTCTTCAGTTGTATATATGCTGCTATCGCTCTGCCGATCTGCGCCTTCACATCTGCATCAGATCCACCATATTCATCGATGATGCTGTCCAAATATGTAGAGGTTTTACATCTTCCAAATCTCCTCCGTCAATGGTGATCGGATTGGTGCATGTTGTGTTGTATCGGAGAATCTTGCATTTCTCTTTGTGTATGTGGAGACCTACTACTGCTGAGACTACTTCTGCACTGGTTGTCTTCTCCTGCGTTTGTTGTTGTGTGTGCGATAGAAGAGCCAGATCATCTGCAAAGTCTTAACCGTCCAGCTGCTTTCAAGCTGTCTACTGTATCCCATGCTTCTGTTCAGATATTGACATCTTCATGATCCAGTCGATCACCAGGAGAAAGAGAAAGAGTGAGAGTAAGCAACCTTGCTTGACTATACAAATAAGTAGTTTGTTCATTGCATCAATCTTTTTAAACTTATTCAAGTGTATGTGTAAATGTGTGCACGGTCTATACTCCACAAAGGGTAACAAGCATATAGATGTAGCATTTATTCAACGAAATGTATACAATTGTTTTGTATTGTTATCAATATTTTGGTTACATCATTTCTTTTCTCTTTTCTTTCTTTTTTCTTCTTTTTAACATAAACTAATTATCAGAATTCATAATAAAAGTGTTTATTTAAAAATGGGTTTACGTAAAATGGTTAATCGTACAAAATGTAAAGATTTACATCAAAATATTATTGTTGAAGTAGATGGTCGTCAATTAGATTTACCACCATTAGAAGGTGTAATTATTTTAAATATTTTATCATGGGGTGCTGGTGCAAATCCATGGGGTGTTGAAAAAGATGATGCATTTACAACTCCAACACATTTTGATGGTCAACTTGAAATTGTTGGTGTTACTGGTGTAGTACATATGGGACAAATATTTTCTGGTTTAAGGACAGGTATTCGTTTAGCACAAGGTGGTCATGTAAGAATATTTATTTTCATTTTATATATATTTACTTATAATTTGTTTATCATATTAGTTGTTTATTTAGTCGGCTTATTCATATATAGTTAGCCATATTGTAATGTATGAATAGGCAACTGATAAAAGATTCAGATAATTCAATTGATTGATTGAATAAATCTGGATAAAGTATTATCTAGACTATTTCAGTGCTCTCTAATTTTTTTAATAATTGTCTAGCAAGTACTATGGTGTGTGCTACTTATGTAGACATTAGTAGTATATGACGCTAGTCGTGTACAGAATGTCTGGCAGCAGAGAGACAAGAAAACCGAACAGTAAAGAATGGAAAACAGAATGCAATTTGTATGAAAATGCAAGAACAAAGGAAGTCTGAGTCATTTGAGACAATTGATGGACATTTAGCAAACTGAGCATTTAATATATGGTTGTTAGATTTAACTAAGTAGTTTTGTAATTTCTTATCAAATACATTCAATTGTCCCCATTCGTGTTTTTGTTCACTACAGTACCACCTATAAAAGTCTTTCGTTTTACAATAATACCTATTAATAATAGATAAAGCTTCGTATTTCTGTTATAACTTGTGCTCTATGTCCTTATTAACATATAAAGTAATGATACTGTCAATTAGAGAACAGTGATTTATCAACCGGACCAATGATGCATAAAACCCGTACAAGCAATCTAGAATCCTTACCAGTCTTGCTTCCTGCCTAGTCGCGCCTGTGAAGTTCAGAAAACACTATTCTCAATCTCTACGATATGAATCATGTATTTCAAACATACTAAGATTATATATAGAAACCAAATAGACCACATCGTTCCATAAAATAGGAAACAATATTTATACAAGAATTAATCAAATGTGGCTATTAATACGGGAGATAGTAATTAATATACAGGGCATAATTCAAGAATGTCAAATCGTATAATCATAGCTCATAGGTCGAAATAAAGCTTATGATAAGAGGAACAAGAATATGAATAGATTAATCATTTAACAATTGGTTCATAATTGGATTCCAAAAGTTACCATCCATTATTCTCATCGGGATATAACAATTTCTAAGTAAAAAGTAATTTGATTGTTGATTATAGATCAAACCTGACCTTTGTATGCTTTTTATCATTTATTTATAAATATGACAATGGTGGATGTGTCGCTCAATTTCGTAGATTGGTTGAAGTTAAACATTAACACCGTCGGATGCCGGCTCAGCGGTCTAGTGATTAAGTGCTCGCGCGCGAAACCAGTAGGTCCTGAGTTCGAATCTCGCAGGGGGTGAGGTCGTGGATGCGCACTGCTGAGGAGTCCCGCAATCGGACGAAACGGCCTTCCAGTGCTTCCAGGTTTTTCATGGTGGTCTAGCTTCAACTGACTCATGATCTTAGCCATTGAAATATAAATTCATTAATATAATTGATTAGTCCCCAACAGGTTGTTAAATAAACAATTGAAATACTAATAAGACATGGTTACGTAATCCTAAACTAACTTAAAATATACAACTAATGTTTATTTTAATCGGTAATAGCAATAAACCAATTCACAATGAACTAATCTTTACAGCTGTTCTTTGTCATTTATGTTTTACAGATAAGAATTACAGTGAAATGTGATATCCCAGTACAAGTTGATGGTGAACCATGGATTCAACCACCTGGTCAAATTATAGTTTTACGTTCAGCCTTAAAAGTAAACAAAATACTTTTGTTTTTGTTTTTCTTTATTATTGAAAATAAATTTTTGTTGTTGTTAAAAATTAACTGGACATATTCTTTATGTATATCAATTTAATGTTAAGCGTTCGCGTGCGATACTGAAGGCCCTGAGTTCGAATCCTGCGAGCGGGATCGTGTATGCGCACTGCCGAGGAGTCCCATAATAGGACGAAACGGCCGTCCAATGCTTCCAGGTTTTCAATATTGGTCTAACATCAATTGATTCATGATCTCAATCAAAAACTTAGTGTTAATTTATTTGTACATTTTTCACTATTACAGATTGATTTCAGCAATTGTAGTTGAAATAATTTCAATGTTTCGTCCATTAAACTTATTGAGACTTCTTCAGGGTACTAATCCAAATCATCAAATGTTTATATTATCCTAGTTTTAGATAAATTATATGTGATGAGACAGTTATCACTTGTGATATTAGATGATTAGTGAGCTATATTTTAAGATTTATGAAAATTAGAAATGTGAACTATATGTATACATGATATTGTATTACTTGAAAGCTCTAACTTGTTAACCTATGATGATGAAAATCTAATTAACAGTATTATACTTTTATTTCAAGGCAACTATGTTGAAAAAACGCAAACGACGTAAAGTGAATCGTCGTCATACTGAACCTGGTTTAGGTGGATCTGGCAGTTCGAATACAACTAGCTCAAATGTTATACATGGTAGTACAGAAGATCCTTTAAGTAGTGCTGTATTTGGTGCCAGTGGACCTCCTCCACCTGAAAGTGTAAATTCTCTTGATTGTGGAAATACCAGTACTATTAAACAACTTGAATTAGATATTGCAAAAGTTGAATTAGAAGAAAGAAATTTAAATGATGCTTTCTGTTTAAATGATACAATCAAAACAGATGATTCATATCCTAGACTGTATAGACCAGGACGACCAGTATATGCTAAAAGAAGAGGACGTCGTTTACCAAAACCTGTATTAGTTGCAGTACCATCAGCTCCATCAGAAACTTGTAGATCACCGAGAGAGATACTTGATAATGATGAGTTTGATGAAACATCGGCCTTATGTCTTTCTAAATCAACACGACTGAAACAACATGTACCAACTAATATACATTCAACAACAGAACAACAATCATCTATCATACAAAACATCAAGAACTCTACACCTTCAGCTTCAATGAGTCAATTAAGTTCAACAACTAGTAAAAAAGAAATAGATTGATTATATCAAAACTGGTTACAGTTTTTTTTGTCGTTGTTTTTGGCATTTTTATAGCTGATTTCCGTAAGTTGTTTTTTTTATTTAAACTTCTATTAATTGATAACTGTGTATGAGTATTTGATTAAAATCTTTTTTGATTGAATTAATAAATTACAATGAAGATTGAAGGTAATCTAAATTATTTAATGTATTTATGTAATCCATTTTGAATAATCTGATGACTCATGTAGTTCTAGTGAAATGTCACTGGGACCTAGCCAAATCATACGGTAATCGCGGCACTGAATATCCAGCAGTTCACCAATCCTCATCATGGTCAAGAACAACCAACGCGCACTCATTAATTACATGCTATGAATTGGCTCATGAAGCAAAAGTCCCACTTTTTTCGTTGTACCCACTCTTACTAATATATTTATGTAATAATATCACATTTTGTCGCACAATCATCAAAGCAGCCATAATATCCGGATACGACAAAAGGGTTATCGACGTTAGATACTAACCGTGAGGTATGAATTCGAAGTTTACTGATTGTTCATACTATCCCCGTCTCACTCAAGTAGGCCCCCAATCCTTCGACACAGTTCATCATAAGTTGATGATCTACACAGATTTACATACTTGTTAAGAATTTCTAGACGTGAAAAATTAAAAGATCAACTAGACAAATAGAAAGTAACAGAAAACAAAGAAAATAAAGTAAATAATAAGAATTATAATGTGAAACTCACCATGCCGGATAATAAAATAGCATTGACAGGATAGATTTAAAGTGATAACCTTTTTATACGCCCTAAACAATTTTGTACTAAACCAAAAAGGATAATTAATATCAATAAGATAGATAATAATGATATGATCTGATTTCTCCTAAGTGTATTTAGTAAGTGGTTACATAATTCAAAGGGGTATTGCAATGTATATAGTGAGTATTAACCTCAAGATAATAAAATTGAATTATTATTTAAAATCGAGACCAAGGTAAATGGTTTCAATTAAAAATCTGATTAGTGATGAAAGTCACTGGTATTGAGAATATAATAATCATCCCATCTCAGAATCGTAGTGAATGATTATCATCTCTAGTACAGTTTTATTCGATAGTGACTGGAAATGTTAACCAATTTACCGAGTTTAATTTACCATACTTGTAATGTATGACCTGAAGTACTTGAGTTTGATTGTTTGTGAGATCCTAAATATTCACTAATGACAATGATGATAAACGTAATAATCAACAATCTTAAACCGGTGCGAATGTTTTCCTATTTTATATTTTTAACAATTCTCAAGTTGATCCTAGTTTAATAATAAAATTTAGCTGTTTGTTAGATTTTGAAAGACCGATTTTTATTTAGCACGAATATTATTAAGTTTTTGATTGAGATCATGAACTGAATGATGTTAGACCACCGTTAAAAAACGTGGTAGCACTGGATGGCTGTTTCATTCTATTGTGGGACTCCTCAGCAGTGCACATCCACGATCCTGCTCGTGGGATTCAAACCCAGAGCTTTCAGTCTCACGCGCGAAGGCTTAACCTCTAGACCACTAAGCCGGTATCCAACGGCGTTAATGTCTAACCTTAAGCAATCCATAAAATTGCGTGATCACCTCCTATTGTACTGAAGTAGATACCTGTTTCTACCCGACACGGATTAGCTCCACTGGTCATGGCTTCTCACTAGAACTACAAGAATTCCCTCACGAAGTTAATCACTAGTGAGCACATGGTAATTATCATTATAAGTTTGTGAAAATTATTAAGTTTTTGATTGAGATCATGAATTGAATAATGTTAAACCACCATTGAAAACGTGGTAACACTGAGTGGTTGTTTCGTTCTATTGTAGAACTCCTCAACAGTGCATATCCACGATTATATATTTATTTATTGCATTATTATTTTTATTATTGTTATTATCATGATTAAAGCTTTTTTTTTTCTTATTTATTAATTTGTTTAGCCTTCAAATACAACTACATTCCATCTGTACTAGTACATAATGATTGGATAATTTATCCTAATGAATGCATAAATGAACACATTCATATATGATGGATAAAAGAATTGTATAAGCATATTTTTATACACATGTAATACACTTGGATGATATATACATATATATATTTGATATTATCAATTGACTTCCGAATACCTTATGATGGTTATATGCTGATATATATATATATATATATATATATATATATATATATATATATATATATATATATAGAATATTTATTTGTGAAATAAAACAAATATCTATATTATAAGAGTGCTATACAGAGAAACAGCACTATGTGTAGTCTCTCTGTGTGAGTATCTATGTGTTTGTAAACTGTGTGTAAACTTCTTGAAAATAAGTATAATAATGTTATATAAACATTTATATATTTTAATTAATTTATTCTCCCCCACCCCCTTTGTCTAAATGATTTGTGTAATCAGTTGGCAATTGTTTTTTCTATTATTATTATTATTATTATTATTATTACTATTACTAGTATTGCTGATATTATGACTATTTATTTTACCATAAAAATTATTGCCTAGTCTTTGTATACATATAATAGATATATAGAGTGAATTATTTCTTTATAATACAGTAGTATTCTCTACAAAACGTCAATTATTATTAGTTCTTCCTCCATCACCTTCTTCTTCTTCTTCATCTTCTGTATGTTCTTGCCTTCTATTAGTGATCATGTGTTTTCATGAATATTCAAACTATCAGTCAATTTAATGTATACATCTTCATTATATAATATTGTGTGTACACTACACACACACACATACACATAAGTATGCAATATTACTTCTGTTTTTCTAGTCCATAAAAAGATTATGTGCAATATTATTATTATTATTATTGTGTTGAATTCTCATTGATTTCACAATTTTTCAACTATTCATAATATAAAGAATAATTTACCTTATTCAGTTCATTTGCTATTACTGTTATTCAATGAATGAATGAATGAATGGGTATGTTCTATTCTCTATATTAACTGAAAATTCACCATTTACTTCATGAAGGAAATAAATAAAAGTAAATTAGAAACATAATATATATATTCACATACTTTATATCTCATATATTTAGTAATTCATTATAATTAAATTAATGAAAACATTCCTTACTTGTTACTATATAGACATAACTGTAAGTAGTCGATTATTTCTCATAATAAATAAATAAATAAATAAACAAAAGAGAAAAAAAAATGACAACACATGACATTCTATCATTTTATGATTTCGTTTATTATATAATCACATTTTATTTCTTGTCATATATCATTAGAGGATTCACTATTACTTTAATTCCAGATTGAAAAGAGTGATAAAAACAAATAAACAAATAAATAGATATACAATATAGACAATGAAAATTCATATAGAGAAATAAAATAAAATAAAATATACATTGATTTTTTTACAATTTATCTTATTGCTCATTTAACTGTGATTGTTTTTCTTTTCATTATTTGTTTCTGTGTTTTTTTTCTTTTCTTTTTCTTTTCTTTTTCTTTCTCACTAAAATCAATTTTATAATGAAAACTAGTTTGTTTAAATTAGTTTCTGTTTTACAATTTGCAAAAAATGATTATTTTTCAATTTTTTTGTATAGTAGTACATTGTTTCATATGTATTTATAGATGTAAAATAAAAACTAAACAAACTGTGTTGTTTATGCTGTTCTTTTTTGTTTTCTTTTTTTCTTTTCTTTCTTTTTTTTCTTTCTTTCTTTTTTTTCTTCATTGTATCGTTTTCCTCCATATTTACATAAAATATCTATTTGTATAATAATAATAATAATAATAATACAATTTTCAGTTGAATTAGACTTATCTTTTTAGTTTGTTATTTGTTTTGTTTTGTTTTCAATTCTTGTTTACATCGGATTGTATAATTCAATAATAGTTATTAGTTTAATATCAATATTAAAATAGACCTTTAATGGTGACTTATTTTGAATTCTACAAATGAACTATGTAAAATGTATTATGACTTCTTGTATCTTGTTATCATTATGATGATGATGATGATGATGAGGTTATGGTGAGTATTCTGTTTTTTTTTCTCTGTCTCTCCTTTCGTTTTTATATATAATTTGAGTAAACATTATATATATATTTCATTCTTTTATTTCACTAATCATTCCATTCTACTAGTTTATTTACTTATTTCTCTTTAGTCTTCTCTACTCTACTCTACTCTACTCTACTCTTTTCCCTATACACTCCCTCTTTCTCTCACTACTATTGAATATCATCATTTCTAATTCTTGTTTATTTTAAATGACTATATGTTATTAATATAATAATAATAATTGTTATTATTATTATTATTATTATAAATAATCATTATAATTATTATAATAAATTATAGGACATGTTTATTAATTACATGCATATGCGTATATATATATATATATATATATATATATATATATATATGCATAAATATTATTTATTTATTTATTTATTTATTAGTTTATTGATTTATTTACTGATTTATTGATTTATTAACATAAATTGATCTGTATACAAAATTCATAATCAATAATAGAAACTAATTAAACCTTATTATTATGTATTCCTTTCTAGTCACCACAAATAAATCATGAAGAATAAAATAAATAAATAATTAATTAATTAATTTAATGAAAATGTATAATATCTTACGCACATACACGCATATACACGTACACACATTTATATATACATATATATGTAGGTAGATGTGTGTGTGTGTGCGTGTGTGTGTGTGCGTGTACAAACAATCAACAACTCATTCTCATCTAACATACATTGAAACTATCATAGACATTGAAAAAAAAATATTTTTTTTTCGGAGCTGTGTGCCATTTTCATAACTATTATTATTATTATTATTATTTTCCTTCAGATAATTAATAATGATAATATTAGTAAATGAATATCACATTAATTGTTCTATTGAAATTCATTAAAATGAATTTTAAAAAAAAATAAGAAAGAATTTCTATTTAACTTTTATTATTATTATTATGATGGTGATGATGTTTTTGTTTCTTTTTATTTGAGTATAGTAACATTGTTTTCATGGGAGGGAAAGGAGGGGGGACAGTATGATGTATTAAAGTGAAATCATTATATATATATATATATATATATATATATATATATCATATTTTTTAGTTGGAAATTTCAATCAAGTTACAAATAACACTTACTTACTTACGCCAGTTACTTCTGGTAAAAGAGAATAGACCACTCACTAGCATTCTCCATCCAATTCTATCCTGGGCAATCCTTTTCAGCTTTTTCCAGTTCTTATTCATCCTTTTCACATCTGCTTCTATTTCCCGACGCAATGTGTTCTTTGGCTTTCGTCTTTTCCGCTTCCATTCAAAATTCCAAGTTAGGCTTTGTCTCGTGGTGCATTTTCATTATTTCCTCAATGTATGTCCTATCCACCAACTCCATCGTCTTTTCCTAATTTCCTCTTCAGCTAGAAGCTGGTTGGTTCTCTCCCATAGTAGGCTGTTGCTGATGGTGTCCGTCCAATCGACGTTGAGTTTCTTGCATAGACAGTTATTGATAAATACTTGTACCTTCTTGATGGTGGTTGTTGTAGTTCTCCAAGTTTCAGCTCCGTACAGTAGAACCGACTGCCTTGACGTTCGTATTGAAGATTGTGACTTTGATATTGGTTGGCAGTTGTTTTGAGTTCCATATGTTCTTCGATTGAAGGTATGCTGTCCTTGCTTTGCCAACACATTGATTTCAATGTGTTTATTGTTTACTGACTGACGTGAGTCATAGTTTATTTCTACCCGACGTTTGTGATGATTATATCGTTTAAAACAACTATGAAAGCTCCATTATCAAATCATCTAGCTCAGAGAATAAAACTCCATCAAAATCATACACCTGAGCTACAAAAGTTATTCACTATCTCACTGTATTACATTAAATGAGTTGATTAATTATCATATGCCTGTTATATTTGCCGACCGTTGTAGCCACCTTGACGTGGTGATCGAGGTTGCTTATAATGATGAACCAATTAAACTATACTGGTTGAAACAATTGTTCCTCAAGGTTCTACCCTGCCAGACAAATCGGTTGAAGTGCGGTAAATCTAAAAGCAGCAAACCCAAGGTCTGCGAGCGAAGTCGTACTGCTAACTGTACAGGGGTGTGACGGCAGTAAAGTGTTTCCTCCAGACAACCACCATAAAAGCGATGTCGTCTTCCCACAAGGAGGGATATGGTTAGAATTCGAGCTAAAAAAAAGTTCCTATTACAGCAGACTTTTTCCTCCAACACATATCACATCGAAAGACAACATCATCACAGTGGTCTGCACACGGCCTAGCAGTCACTGGATTACCACAATCACAAATAAAAAAACTTCTTAGTATTCCCATTTGTTGTAGCTGCTTAATTATCACGTCTTTTCTAAAATCCGCTGTAAACCGATATTACGTGCGCATCAGGTACTGAAATTGACACCGTGATCTTGAAATCCCTCAAATGCTTCTGATTGGCTCGTCCATAGATTATAGTCTCGCCAAAAATTAATTGATGATAGAAAAGGTCTATAAAATGTTTAGCATAAGGCGAAGGTTGAAAGCAATCGACAGGAAACCCTGGATCTAGGTTTAGCGTTATTTGGTGCTTATCAACAAGGTGTGCCCGTAGTCTTGAGGGAACTGATGTCTCTAGACAAATTCGGTTTTATGTTCTCCAGCTTCACAGTCAGAGATGTTACTGCCGAGTTTTCCAAATTTTGAATGGCCTCCTGACGAGTTCTAAATAACACGAAGTTTAGATCCATGGTTTCCTATAGATTACCTCCAACTACCCATTCATCATAACATAGTACACAAGATGTCGAATCACCTAGACTAGTGGCCACATTGAAATATTATCAATAGAATTCAATTTGCATTAAGATGAACTTGATATAATTAATATTGATCACTACCTAGTGATCATTTATTTGAAAATTTTTAATGCTTATAGATCAACTATGCTGGTACGTTACAACAGAGAGTACAGTGTAATTCGAATGACATATTACGAAACTAACAAATTAGAGGATATAAAAATTGAATATTTGCTAACTGTTAATTAAGAGATATTTCACGCTAACTTAGTTTAAAAGTGAAACTTTTATTGAAACCTTCAAATAACGTTGAGGAAAATAATCAAGGTCACATTTTTGATGACAACAGTTTGTATCGTTAGCGGTGTAGGACGTTGCTGACATGATGGGAAGACAAATCAATATTTGATTGATTTACTCAATATGAGTTTTATTCATCATTACATCCTTTTTGATTCAATGTAATGATTACACAATGTAGTTTTTGTTTTCTTTTCTCGTATGATATTTTATCCTGTATAATATACAAGATTCTTGTATTCCATTGACTATGAACTATACTTAGTATATGATTTGTTATAACTGTGAGTATTTTTCATGTATGTGATTTCATTCTTATAATTATTAATCAAAACGGAAGTACAACCAATATATAAACGAGTATATTTTCTACTAAGGGGACTTCGCTCATTTCTCTGGTTGCTGCAGAATACACTTCTCATTTCAAGCGTGGACTTCTCCCTCTAGATAGCGGGGCTGGGGCGCAGCAATAGCTAGCTTACTGGACCTTGATCATCGAAACTCGATCTCGTTCGCAGATCACTTGAACTAGTGACAGCTTTCAACCTTAACAGTTGCTTACTTCAACTTATTTCAAATCATAATACTTCATCTCTAGATGGATTTAAAATCATATTGAATTCATTTAATATTCATATTCGCAATCTGAATTTTACATGCAAAAATGTTACATGTATTTTAATTGAGATTATCATTCGAAATCTAGAAGCATTGGATGACTGTTCTCTGAGTTCTAGTAAGAACTCGTAATCAGTGTAGTTCACTTGTGTTGAGTATGAGATAATTACTCAAAGACAACAATCAAAGATCATCACTCAATTTTGTAAATTTATTAAAGTTAGATATTAACACCGTTGACGTCCTCACGTGAAACAGAAGTTGTCGGATACGAATCCTATTTGAAGGATTGTGGATAACACTTATAAAGAGTTCCATACTATAATAAAAAGACCGTCTAGTGCTTCCAAGTTTTGTAATGTTGATCTAATATTGATCAATTCAGGATCTTCACAATTCTATACTGATAAATAGATTTCTTCATCTTATAATCTATATAGATTATCGATTAATCGTCACCAAGTTTATAACTTTTGTTCATTTCAATTGTTTCTATTCAATTTGAAGTTTTCATTTTGTTACAGAATATTATTCATTCTTCATATAACATGTTCTATTCTTATGTAACTTCTAATTTCTTAGCAACATTACATTTTGTTACTTTTCACTTTGAAATTATTCGATAAAGAAAAACAAAAAGAAACTATCGGCATGAAACGTTTTGATTTATACAATTTTCTTCTTGTAGACATTTTTTTTACTTCTTCTATGACTTGCATAGTAATAGTCTAG